GACGCCTCGCGGCGTGGCGAGCGCGCCGGCGCTCCCGCGCCCGCGGAAGCAGCCGGGGTGTGTCGGCCGGGGAGCCTCCGGCGGGCCTGCGGCGCGGGGCGCTGCGCGCGGCAAGCTTGCCGGGATGTGCCCGCAGCAAGAAGCCTCCGGCGGGCCTCCGGCGGACGCCTAACGGCGTGGCGCGGCGCGCCGGCGCTCGCGCGCCCGCGGAAGCAGCCGGGGTGTGTCGGCCGGGGAGCCTCCGGCGGGCCTGCGGCGCGGGGCGCTGCGCGCGGCAAGCTTGCCGGGATGAGTCGGCCGGGGAGCCTCCGGCGGACGCCTGGCGGCGTGGCGCTGCGCGCCGGCGCTGCCGCCATTCGAAAGGGGCTCGACTGCATCTTCGACCGCAGATTTTCACTTTTTTGGGCCCCTTATCAGTCTAGCAAAGCCGTGAACGCGTTGCTGGGGCCGTAGCTACAGAGCTTGATGGTGCTTCGTCGGCGTGCGTCCCGGAGCGGTGCCGGACGGGCGGTCCGTGGGACAAAATCGGGGGACAATTTTTTTTTCCAGGCAGGTAAACCCGGGGGGTTTCAGGTAGCCCGCAAAATACCCGGGCGGGTAGGTAGACCCGTGCGTGGCTCACCCTCGGTCCTCGGTGCTCGAGAGGGATCCCGACTCGGGCCTGATGGAGGCATACACCAGCCGTCGCCAAAGCCGTGACTGGTCTGGCGCGCGATTTTCGGGCACCTGGCCGGCACCTGGTCTAGCACGCAAGCCCCCCCAGATCGACTCGTGATAGATACCTCCGGTGGTCCGCCGTCGTTCGGAGGATTCGCGCAACGCGATGTCCCTATGCTGCGTGCCGGTGCGGTCCCCTAGACGGCTCTTCCTTGCCGCCCTCTCTGCCCTCGGCCTGCTCACTCGCGCCGCCAGCCAATGCGCAAACATGAAGAAGGATCCGCACTTGGCATTCGCTCGTGGCGGCCGTGCGGACTTCCGCGGTCGCAATGGCGCGTACTCTAGCGTACTATGCTTTCCTGTCAACGCCCGGCCGTGTGTCTTGTGAGCTTGTTTGTGTCTGTGTGTCGCTCGTGCGTGTCGTCATCATCTGTCTCGCGTCCAGCCATACCGCGTTGGTGTCCAGTCCGAGCCTGGCTGTTCTTCACCTTCCTACACCATACG